TCAAGCCATTTCACCATAGGACTGTTGTTTGGTGTCTAATTTGTGAAGCAATTAGACTGGAGGCAATTTGGGTAATTGTGATGCATTTATCAATGTTAATGCATGTATGATAAACATCTGAATTACCCTCCATGAATCAAACACGCTAACACTTCTTGCCACTGCTTCGCCATTAGACGGCCATATTATGAAGTGGCTAGAGATACAGAGAAAAGGAAATTGACGCCTCCCTCTTCCCCATTTCCTCCAAGCAAGTTTTCTCCGCATTGCTTCATCTCGCAATCTCGAAACTTGCATCGATTTTTCTACACATATTTATGAGTTTTTCTGTAGCAAATTTAATTCAGATTGCTCTACTCTTCCTTGGTCGTGTTTTTTTTTTATTGCAATGAGTATATATGGAATCCGTGTTAAGATCCGAGAACATTTTCGTCAGAAGTAGAGTATGGTCGTATGCATAATGGATCATGGTGGGAGTCTGGTTGAGGTGCGTCCGCGGATTCTGCATTGACATCCACGAGAGCTTAGGAAATTATTGTTCTACGTCGGATGGTGATACATTCTATACAAGATCTTGCTTGGGGGTACAAGTGAGTGAAATGGGTCGCAGGTCGAAGGAGGGGGGCTTGTCTATTGGGATCGGAGCATGATGTGTGTTTGGGGAAGGGATCTACGAAAGGCAGGAGGCTAAGTTATTCAGGGACAAAAAAGAGTTGATTAGGTCCTTCGCTTCATTGTCCACAAATTAATTTGATTACGTGATTGATTATGGTCAAATTTATCTGATCTAAAACAATTATTTTCCAACAAATCCCAGTAATAGAACTTGGGAATTCACCTTTTCAAACAGAGCAATTTTTCTTAATAGAAAAAAGTGGAATGGCATTCCACAATATCGAGATACCTGGCTCCCTTTCCCGCGCACTCCCCAAAGAGCGTTAGCGTCTCAAGGGGTTCCGTTCACCCAACCTATCTAAATTATGAGGAACCACTCCTATTTTTAAATCTTCATTTGGATTCCCCTGTGATTTTTTTTATGTTGGAGGAATTCTTATCTAGGAGTAAAATCTGCTCCAGCAAACGTTTTATTTCTGATGAAAACTGTTATTGCTTTTTCTGGGTCATCGTTGCCTTCGTGGCTTAAAAAGCAAACTTTACGATAATAAAAAAATAATGCTAATGCCCAATCCGTCAACTCGAGGTAATGTGCTTTGTTTTGGTAAACTTCATGATGAAAATCTAATGGAAGAATTGTCATTTACACACCCGCGTCCCGCAGGATCAGCTTTGTGGGTAACAAAATGTCAGCAGACATAAAGAACTCATGGTTAGTTTTTAATTAGCAGCAAGAGAAAATACAGATATTAATCAGATGTAGAGGTATCCCAGATCAGTTTAAATTTAAACGAATCTGGTTGGAACAATGGGTGACACGCACCAGATTCGTTTAACTTTAAACTGATTTCCATAGGAGACCATTGTGAGGTCAGATTAGTTTAGCTTACAACGGATTCGGTGCATGTCACCCATTATCTGTGGTTGACAACAATCTCAAAAGTGAAGAATCATTAATCCGGCCAGATCCCAGGTTCGTTACCTCTCCTTTTTCCCTTGCCTTTTGTCTCTTTCCCCTTCCCCCGAATTGACCCGTCGCTTGGTTGTCAAGGTCACATCTCCGGAGCTTTCGATAGTGAGAGAAATTTCATCATCAAGTGTTGACCTGCCGCTAGTTCTTCCCTGTATTTTGCTCCCTTTCTTACTGGCAATCATAGTGCTACGGAGAAGCTGAGGTGTTTTTTGGTAGAGAAGGGGAGTCAGTCGATGCAATCACGAAGCTCGAAGCGTCTCTCCAGTGGGGGGATCCCCCTCTTTATGGCGGCCACCGGTCAAATTTAGAAAGTTCCCCTTGCGGCCGTATTACACAGATTTGTACTGTATTCACGAACTTTGTAACTATGATAATGAGCAACAACCAACCTCGAGAGCTGGCAAAACCAATCGCAGAGGGAAACGCAATGTGCTCATCATGCTGGCAGCATGACTCACGAGTCCCATGTCATAGGAGCCTTCTGCAATCTTCCTGCGCATTCCGTGTTGTTTTCGTTCTAACAGGAAGTATTTAACATTACTCGGGAGTGCTGCCGAATCTTTGAAACCACCCTAAAAGATCATACCCACTGAATCTTTGCCATCTGCGAACGACAAAGGAAATTTTTTTGGACCCGGTATCAACATAGGTACCATGGAGAGTAGAGGAAAACGTGGTCGGCGACCGAATTTCACCATTAAGGAAATTGGGATGCTCAGTGAAGAAATCGAGCGAAAGAATGTCTTTCTGGAGAAATTGAAATTGCAAGCATGGGATTTAGTGGCTGAGGCAGTGAGCTGTGGTCTCATCCTCTGTGCCGAAGGAAAAATATTATCCATGAACTTGAAGTCAAGTGCAAAGGCAAAATGTCAGTTTCTTGGAAGGACTAGCGGTGGATCATCTCCCCCAATGCCCGATACGTCAAAATATTCTTTCAATAATTGGGGGGGGGGGGGAATAGGAGCATATCGTCTTCCTTTTCTAAGACTTTATTGAATGACCCCCACGGCGAATCCTGTCAACCAAGTGTGGATGAACCTTAGCCTAATTGAGACACCCAATTAAAGAAATATCCACAGGTTAATGATACCTCGGGATCGTTCGTAGACTTGCAAAGAAAGTTATCGAACTTTTGCACTTTCGTGAATACCGAAATTGTGTACCGTTCTTACGAGCTGCGTACGAAGTATCGTTGGAACATCTTACGCAAAATTATTTCATGAATACCACTTACGAACTTTTCTATTAATTACGAAGGGAAAAGTTGGTAAGAATGTTTCGTGGATAAAGTCTCAGCAAGGAGACAGTAGGGGAAAATGTGACATGGCCATATGCCACCTTTTTCCAAGTCGTCACCTTCCAAGGACCATACAGTTTAAAAAAATTCATTGAAGATTCCTGAATGAAAATGATTAACAAGATTAGTTTACCTTGAACAAAGGAGCAAATAAGAAATGTATTCTATTATTTATTATGAACACGCCCTTCAACTGGTAGAATGATCGTCACAAGTTCTCCGTAAAAAAAAAATAATCTAGTTTCAAGATGGCAATTTGCATTATGTTAACCAGCCAACCCTAAAAAAATGAATGTGATCACTGGGTATCAGCTTCGCTGCATTGAACGTTTCTGGAGAACAAAATCTTCCCTTTTCCCGTTTTGCATTATTCTTTTCGTTTCTCTTCAAAATGCTCAGACTTTGATTTACACAAAAAATCATTTTTTAAATTTAACTTAATTGGTGGATCAGGGAGGATTTGGATGCAGATGAGATAATTCTAAACAAGTGAAATACTCGCCATTATACACGTGAACAGAAATCAAATAATCTAGGACACCTTAAGGGAATCATGTCACAGTTCAGATCCCTAAGAGGGAAGGAAAACAGAGATGCCCATGGCAACCACACAGAATGAGTAATTCTGCATGTACTCAGCTCCACTTTCATGGGGAATAGTCATCTCTCCATAGGGTTCTATAACATTATGTCGAAAGCCACAATGTCGTCAGATTTTATTGTATGTCGCCTAGCAAAAACGTCGAATGCCACACAATGTCGAATGGGCCTAATGTTGATTGTTAAAATACCGAAGGCGTCAAAATGTGGAAAAACGTCGAATCCTCAAATGGCTTGTTGAATGCGAAAGATGCGCAGTTACTCCATCGTGTTGCAGGGCAAACTTGACGCATTTCAGAGATTCCGCTTTGTTCCGAAGCTGCAGTTAATTTCAAAGTACTTCCTCATGTGAAGCACAAAAGTTGCTTCTTCCATTTTACACAAAGCATTTGGAGAAAAAAAATCAAAGTACAGGGTTAATCTCTGAATATGCAGATAACGTAGAGTTTGCTTTAGCTATGCGCATGTTGACAGCTTTTGCGTTCGTGCCAGGTGCATTCGAAGGTCTCTTGACCTGCATGCCAACAGCATCAGCCCCAACCATTGCTTCTTTTAGAAAATATTATGTCGATGGCCGCGGAAGCAGAAATCGACCTCGTAGTGGCCCTGTTTTCCATCCTAGAGTGTGGAATGTGAAGGAACGAGTCATCATGGGAGAACCACGCACGATCAATGCTCTAGACCAGGGGTGCCCAAAGTGCGGCCCGCGGGCCGCATCTAGCACACAGTGCCTTAGAAAACATCCACTTTGGGCACCCCTGCTCTAGACGGATGGGACCACCGATTCAATCGTATTGTAGGCAAGGCCCATTCCAATATGTATGAATTTCTAGGAGTCTTGCAGAAAGAGGAATGTTTTCAAGAGCGAGAGATAGAAAGAATCTTGTCAGGGTATTCCGCACGAAAGCTGAAGAAAAAAGAAGAATCAAGGGGAAAACGCATTCATAAAATTGTTTCTTCCTACTCCGACCGCGAAGTTCGTGATTACTTGCTTCCAGTGGCACATAATGTTCAGATTTGAATGCCGCATGTCAGAGGTTATCACATTTATAACCGCCAATTAATTTGCTTTTCCTTCTGGACCAGATGCAGTTTTCCAGGGTTCGGCATGACGAATTTTAAAGATTTCATTGACAGAACAAATGAATGTCCTATTCGACTTTGCTCCCTTTCGACATTTTGACTTGCAACATTTCATTCCTTCGCCGTTCAGGAATTCGACATAGTTGGTAATCGACAATCGGACAGTCGACGTGTGTTTTCGACATTTTGACGGGGTATGCTCCATAGGTCTTCTCAGTACAGAATTTTTGAGAAAAGGAGGATATTCATCTTTCATTGAGATTGTGAACAAAAGCAGTAGAAGTATCTCCTGCCAAGATGACTAGCTACTTTTCTGAGGCAAGCATGAAGGCCTAACAGTTTGAAGGGAACAAGACTCAGTTTCCCCTTTAAAAGAAAAGCCTTCAAGATTCATCATCCTCCCTAACCTTGAGTGAACAATGGTTTATGTATGATTAGCATCTGTGTATCCCAGTATTTATATCCAGTGTTAAACACAATATGTTGAAGCAGACAGGGAGGCATTCACATGTACCAATTCCAAAAGCAAGTAATTCTTACCATGAGGGGGAAGGGAGGTGATGCAAGACATCAACAAACAAATCCTCATGACTGTGTCCATTATCATCCCATTGATGTTTGTACAAGATAAAACGTTTCTTTCATTTCAATATTTTTCCCTTGCATCTACAATCCATGGCCACACAAAATGGATCAGACCTAACAAAATGAAACAGTCCTAAGGAAAACATGTAGGAAACAAATGCATTTGGGGTGCAATCAAGCCATATTTCATCTCTTCAGAGGAATAGATATATTCCCAAAGGCTTATGCTCCAAGACAATATTCTTTTTCAACAGGCAGAACTTGAGATAGAGATAGAGAGACAAATGGGGCATGATGGGCTAAAAAAAAACTACATGAAGTGACAAGATACTTGAAAAGATTGAGAGGAAAGGAGCACAGGGAAGCAAGACTTATAAAACTGAAGAATCTCAAAAGCTGGCCCAATTGGCATCACATATCCCACTGTTACAATTATAGCGGCATGTGCTGTTCACTTAAATTGCTCACTCCACAACACATATCACTGTTCACTCTTAGTCAATGTACTGTGCTAGCCATCGAAAGCCTTCTCCATATCCCTGGCGTTTGAGGACGCTGCACATGAACAACTCCAGTGGACGGCCATGCAGTTCTGATCGTGGCACTTTCCCCTGGTTTCAACCCAAAGCAAGAAGATAAATCACAAAGAATGATGTAGATGACATTGTCACAAAAACTATAAAACTTGTACCAGTCCTAGTATCTTCAAGTGAAATGGAATGATAACTGTCCATTACTTTTTAATGCGTTTGCTTCTGATCATTAGTTTCTTACACACATGTGCGTCATCAGCAGCAAATGTGGTAATTTTATCCCATTATTTTCATTTACTGCTACAGGCAGCATTACACTGTAGTAGTGTAACATGGTAACACAAGTCACCTTTCTTCCATACCATAGTGTTACCAAGTATCCATGATGCCTTTAGTGGAAGTGGGGTCAATAAGGCAACAAGTTTCCATACTTTTGCAAAATGCATGCTCCTTTCCCATATCCTCCAAGGTTTAAGCAATTAAGAAGTTTAGAGCCTTATTTTACCAGATGTGCACCAGTAAATGATTGCCAAAGCTCTTGAACAGAGACATCAAACTTTCCTGCACTATAATGAATATATGAAGATGTTCTTTTTCTGAGAGTTCTGACCTTGCCAGTGGTTTGTCCAAAGAGGCCAAAGGTGTGACGAAGCTCTTCTTCAGATGCAGCACCAGCTTTATCAATCTTGTTGCCCAGCAGAAGAACCGGGCATTGACTTAGTTGCTCATCCGTCAACAGGCCATCCAATTCAGCTTTGCTCTCAATGAAACGGGATCGATCAAAGGCATCTATCAGGAACACTATCGCATCCACTGCAGGGAAGTAATCCTTCCACACCCGACGAGCTATAGTTGAAAGCAGACATAAATCCATTGCTCCCATTCTCAGACTCCTCATTAACAAGATCACTTAGCTTAGCAAAACAAATGAGGCCAGCTGCAAATATCTGAATAAACTCAAGTCAACCAGTTGGTGATAAGTACCTGATTAAAAACGGTTAAAAATTGACCTTGCTTTAGCAGAATCAATTTGTAAGAAATTTCACATTTTGCTGGGAATACCTCCTGGACAATAGCCATGAAGCAAGGAATTCGGAAGAAAGTTTGAAAGGATGTTTGTAAGAAATTCATCTATTCACAGTGAAAGTTAAATGAAAATATATATTGGTATTTAAAAAGATAGATTGGCTGTCAAGTAGAATTTTTAACATGGTGCTTCTCATAAAAGGTTAGGGCAGAAAAGTGAGAAAAAAGACCTATGACTTTTAACCAATGTGTTAACAATTAATCTTTAATCTTTGTTTAATTAATGTTCATTATTTCATAACATTTGTATCACACAGGGCCCTATAAAATAGCACCATGCTGTTTCTTCCACAGCTACACTCTGGAATGCTGGAATGAATATTATTTTATTGAAACTTTGCAGATGTTGCTTGACATATCAATTCCATCTAAATTTTGCTTAGACTGTAACTTTAGTACTCAGTGAGATCTGAAAAATTAATTCAAAAGATTTTTTTAAAGGAATTGTAATAAACTAAAAATAACAATTAACTTTTACAATTTCAAAACTCAACCAACATTTCAAGAATCAAATATGATCAAATTTTTTCCCCCCTGTATGTTATTACCAAGCAAGGGAAAAGCATAGCGGACTTATGACTTCTCAAGTTTCATAATCCTCCCAAGAGAGCCTATCACTTCTCAAAGCAGTTTCAGGGGGAGGTTATGAAATGATAATGCAAAAGGCAATCTTCTTTCCTCAGAACTCTTCCCTCTCCTGGCAACACTCAATTATTTCTGGGTAATTAGAGATAATATCTACAGAATCAGTAAAGATTTTAAGAGAAATATCTGAGACCATGGCCAATCAGCAAATCCATCATAAACAACACCATGAAGTACAACTCACCTTGGTGATGGCCGCCAAGGTCAAATGTTGTGAAGCGCATGTTCCCAATAGACAGCTCCTCCGAAGCTATGTGTAGATACATTCACACATCAGGCATCAGTAAGGGTATAAATGTCATTTTAAGGTAAACAGGAAAGCCTTGTTAATTCAATACCAGATAGTTAAAAGTCATTGCATTCCTCATCCAAGACAATAGCAATTTGTATGATTTCTAAAATGGATAAAATCAAAATGCAACAAATTTGAAAATTCACTGTCTTTTTTGGTCTCAAGCCATAAACTTTACATTACCCACTATCACCAACAGATGACCTTCATCCCAGACCTCACATGGAAACCTCCTTCTTGTCATTCAGAACATTTCTAAACAAAGGGAGTGTTAGTCCATCACAAATCTCCTCTCACCAACATGTCACATGACCTTCAGTGAAAGGCCAAGGTGAACAAGAGGAAGTACAAAAAAATAGGATAAATTAAACATGTATTTTTTTGTATATTTTTATCCCCTAAATTTCAAATTGTTGAGATACTTGCATCTTATCAAAAGTTTCTTCAATAGAAAGCACTAAAAATCTCTCAGAAAAAAGCAGTTAACAGAAATAAAACTAACTAGGGTGCAACGTAGGAACATGCTGGGCCATTCGATCATCTTTGAGCATGTGCAGGAGGGTTGTTTTCCCAGCATTATCGAGGCCAAGGAACAGCAACTTTCCAGATTTCTTGTACAGGCCTAAAGAAAGAATCAAGAGATAAGAATTCAGATTATTCCTTTACCCAGTCAGGTTGTTACTCAATCTCAATCTAAGGTCAAATAGAGCCAAAGAGAGGCCACAAAAGCTGTTATATTGAATCTCCTTTTAGGCAATCAGAGATGTAGAAAAAAGTTTCAAAATGCAATGAAAAAGTGAAAGAGAACATAAATGACACACTTGTAACTACTGTAGTTTATATACTCTGAGAATATAAGAGAGACTCACCAAGGTACCCCAAAACACCAGTGATCCAATCCCAGAGAAACATGGTCAAACCAGGTGATTATGCTTCTGACAAAGTAGAGTAGCCCAAGTTCGTAGGTCAAATTATGAATGAATAGCTGAATAACAAACTTTTGGGCAAAAATATACCATACATTCGAGGAGTTAGTCACAGGATTTTAAAGTTCATACCTAAAGGGGCTGCAAGAAAAATGCTGGGATCACATACATAAGTCACAACAGCAAAACTAAATATTCCTCCATCAAAATATTGATGAAGATTGATGGCACTATGGGTAGAGTTACCAGGGCATGCCTGCTATCACACTTTATTTAAGAAGTTGAAGATGAAAACTTACATTTTTCACATGACCACAGGAAAATGTGAGAATATCTAGCATAATTATTTCCCACCTAATATCAATGAGGAATGCATGGCAATTCCCTGAAAGAATTGTGCACCAGATGTCAAACTGTGGGCCTTAGTGTAGCAGCATTGCCCAAATGGTAACAGTTAAAGACATATCCCCTATAGAAAGTGCATTTCCCCAGTCTCTATAATTCCAGATAATCTAGAAAACATGGGAGACTTCCAATTGACATTGCATGCTTCCAAAAAACATCTAGAAATGTGCAATGTTGATTGGAATTCCTTTTTTAATCATAAACACTAACCTATCTAAGCCTAACTTTTGGTGGAATGCACTTTCTCAAGGGCAGGGCTTCCAAACCCAGGGGTCACAACCCCATTTGGGGATGCCAATATTATATTTGGGGTCATGAACTGGCAACTAAATGCCAAGTTATATTTTTCTTTGCAATTTTAGTGCATAGGTGGGGGAGCCTGTACAGCCAGTGCTTGGGGTCCTGAATGGTATGAACATGATTTTTGGGGTTGCATGTGAAAAAGGTGGTCTCCTGCTCTAGGGGTACACACTTAACTGCTACCTGCCCAAGTCATCTCATGCCAAGTCCATGACTGTTACATGGCATTAGAGCTATTTTGACGGATTGCAAATGCGACACTGATTTAGCCAAGGGCATTTACATCAAGGTAGCAGATGTCACTCGGATGACATGTAGCACCCTAAGAAGTGTGTAAGGGGATGCAATCAATTGAAAATCACTCTAGTGCAAGAGCTACAGCAACAATGTGGTAGCTGAAAACAGCATGGCAAAGCAAAATTTGAAATAACTGTAGGCCTATGCATTAGCCTAACCTATCATATTTATTCCTAGGTCCATGACAGCATTTACATTCAGCCTTAAACTTAGGCAAATTGCATAGAACATAAATAACAGAAAGACTAGGCCCTACCTTGTTGGGCCTGGTATCTTTTGCTACACCGTTTTCAGATTGAATTGGTACCTCCCTACTGAGGCGAACAGAGAAAACACCAGCTTTCCAGACGATAAATCCAGTCCACAAATTATTAGCTACAAGTCTGCACAGCTAACAGGCACCTGCTTATACATGATGAACTCAAAGAATAGAATCATCCAAGTGATTTCCCTCTCCAGATGTCATGTGGTCCTCTCTAGTTAGGCCTAGGCAATTCAGTCATTAAGGTCTGTTCTAACAAGTGAACTACAGCTTTAAATGTTGGGGGGAAAAAGTGGCTCAGGGAAAAAATAATTATATCTAATTGGAAATAGTAAAGTGAGGTCAGAAAGAAATCAGAATTTTCCAACAGCAAGCTTTCACATTTCATGTACCTTGAGAGCTGATACCATTGCTTTATAGAATGTGCTATCATATATTACCCAGTAAAACTCAACAGAAACAACAAGTAGCTGTCCCCTCCCCATATTGTATTTTGACTTATGGATGTGTGGCAAAGTGACATATTTTCCTTTCATCTGCAGTACCTACTGCGACTACCTATGTGCAGGGAATCACTCAGATAACTCCCACCTCAACCTACAAATTACAGCATGCTAACAGTTATGCAGAATGACATTTGTCATCTGGGCTACTTCTCACAATATATACCAATAAGTGACATCATATGGCAGGCCTAACTAGTAAATTCATTGTTGTACTGTCAGGCTAGCACTTGATCTTAGATCCTTAGAGGAATTCTTGTTTTTAAGGCTAAAAGTTTAAGATATCAGTCTATACATTTAGAGAAAAGGTATTTAGAGACAAGGAAAAAACTCATCCTTACCTTCTCTCCTGGTCAATACAGCAAATTATACAAGCCTGGAACCAGTTTCATCCAAGACAAATAGCTTCTGTTCCCTTCATGTCCCAGCCATTTTCCCCTCCTTTGGTTGATGTACAAATTTGATTAAGCATAATTTATGCATCAATACTGAATATTGCATGCCCCATTCTCACTTTTTACCCCATTAACTGAGGTTAGGAAGCAGCAGTTAGGCAGTCCAATGTTAGGGTTATTAGATGTTAAGTGAAATGGTGCCCCAAGAAGCCAGGCAAGGTGGTGTGTGCCCTGAAGGTTGTACCTGAACCTATCACGGGCAGCAAACAGCTCACCAGCAGCAAATTTTTTATTACCTACTCCAAAGGCAATCCACAGAAGGGACATCCACAACATCTTCGCCTAATGGGTACAGAAGAGGGAATGAGAATACAGAATATTCTATACACTAAGGTAAAAAATTTATAGTGCTTCTAGTAACAAGAGCATGTCCACAATTGCACTGCTTTCGAATTGAAATCGTACCCCCCTTGGGTAGTGGAAAACTGAGAAAACATTACTTCCAGAGAACCTGCTTCTTCAGATGACCTCAGGATCCAAAATGATCCTTGTGGAATGAGTCAACACCTGCAATCGTTGGAAGCACTCCTATATGAAGTTGCGAATCTATCATCGAATTGAGAAAACCTAGCACGCTCTTAGTAGTCAAAACCCTTAAGAATCAGTTTTGAGACAAAACTGATTGACGCTCCTTTTTTCAACCGACAAACGAAAACCTTCAAGACTCGAGAACAGCTTCCTCTGTCTCACCATCCTATTTTCCTATGTAAACTCACGCTAAGTGAATCGTGTCTAGGAGTAGGTCTCCTACCATGTTTACCATTAGGGTCAAGGTTGTGGGAAGTGAGAGAAGAGGCACGAGACAAGAAGAAGCTAGCGGATCGGTCCACGAGGGAAGAGCCATCATGGCAATTTTTACGTCATAACCCCAGTGACATCTGCTGGCCTCCAATCAAACCTCTTCCCCCTGCTTCACTCCATAGTCCAGAGGACACGTAGCGGGAGTGACGTAAGCTTGTTACTATGAGTCGTCGGCTGTGGCTCCCATTCCATAGCATCATTCTGGCGCACTTTCTTCACCAGCGCAAGGGTTTTTACTATTATTTGCTTGCAGGCAGCTGCTCAATGATGCTCACGCATCATTGCGTGAGCAATGTTGCCTTGACCGGTGTCTTTTTTTCTCTGGAAGAAGGTGTCGGCACTTCGACGGTATTGCATATTGCTTGGATCCGTTACCGCCTCCCCTTCATCACCAAACCTATGCACATATTTGAAGAGACAATGGCCTTCCCCGGGAGAAATCTACAGAGAAGGAAGCGAGAAAATATTAGCTCTGTCGTGACGGAGTTGGCGAGGATGTTCTTTGTTATAGGTGCCAAATATCCAATAGAATCGTGCCAGAATCCTTTGGAGAGGGTAGAGGTGGAGGCTGCATCATTGTGCATTGGAAAATTTCCTGTGCTTCCAGTTTCTTATTATTCCTCTCAACAAAAAAATATGCAAAAATTCTCCATGTTTCATTTGGAGTGGGGGAAGAAAATCAAGATGATAGGCACGAAAAGGCACAAGCCTTTTCAGGTTTTACCTGGTTCTGAGGCTTTGCTCTCACCCAAGTTCAGTGGCAACTCGAGTATGAAAAAGGGAAGCCAGCTCATGATCTTCACAATGAACTCATCGCGCTATTAATTCGAGAATGAAGCACAAATGGTGTGTTATTGATGATGAGGCACGCCATCACCTGTCGCAAAGAGAAGGCCGATTAGAGAAAACGCTCCGTGTTGACACTATATTGAAGTCATGTAAGAGCAGAGCGGAAATAGACGCTTCCCCTAACCACTTGAAGGGAGAGTGAAAATAACTTTCAGATCGAGAGATCTCAAGTTCGTTGGTTTGGACTAGGTAATGCTCGACGAGTCTGGCAGTTCAAAAATGACCGGCAGATATAGTCCCTTGGAAGGACTATGCGCGAAGCTGCGTCACTCTTTGCTTGGCACTTCACTTCCTGAGCTCGAATCCGTATCCCAAGGGGAGGAATACTGGAGGATGCTCCTCCGCCTGCTCGAGACGCGACCCAATTGATCTGGAGGACATTGAAAATGAATTAATGAACTTAGGTGAGTAGAAGCACATCCAGTCCGAGGAGAAGAACATAGGTCCTACGACTCCCTCCCCTTACGAGTTTCACAGCTCCACCCAAGCAGAATGGCATCATGCTCACTTAGTGGATGCCATGATTATCTAGAATGACTTTTCCGTTCTTGGCACCAGTGTCGACATTAACTGTGCGAATTAGGATGCCCGAGCAGCTCTCTACCCGAGGCAGTGTTCCAGTGATGTGCTTGTCCTGCAGACACCCGCTCGTGCGCAATACAGTGAGGTCAGTCATCGATATATAGGGTAATTTAAAATCTGCTATCAAGAAAATGATTAGTTGCATAAGCGACCGACTGGAAGGTTCAAGGAGTTGAAAGAAGGATTACATTTTCGTCGGTTCACTCGTCTGAACCCTGTTTCGCAATTTGCAGGTGAATCATTGCTGATGGTCTGTGCTCGAACATCTCAAAATGAGTCAATCGATTAAAAAATTTAATCAATTAAAAAATAATAATCGAATTTTAATCGATCCCATAGTTCCTCCTTGAATCATGTCCAAGACGTTGGGAATGATTCTGCTTGTGTCATGCCCGACACCAAGGCGAGTCTCGGGGAGTGACTCAAGGCGATGCAGTCGCTAACATAGCTAATACTATCCATATATACACTAGTTCACCCTATAAGTGACATTAGCCCCTAGCCATTAAGCCAACCCATAACGGAATGATGCAAAAATGTGATCTAAATGATTGGACGTATACAGAGACACTTCATTGTGGAAATTTTAAGATTCATTAACGATTTACGGGCAACACAGGATGGAAGAGCAAAAATAGGAGCAACCAAGGAATAGGACAGGGTTTCACACTTTCGTTTCCACCAGTGGCGTAA